TTTAATTGTTGTATTACTTACTGTTAAGTGAGACGTCTATTGTGCATGTAATATTTAAACTTATGAGTTTTTTAAGATTCTGAATATAACTTCAGTTTTCATATATGATTTACTCAACATCAAATGATTATCTTACGAACAACACAGTCATATAGAGGCAAATATATCACATCTTTTTTTTTCTTAAACAACTGCAACATATGATTCTGAACTTATGAGTTTTTAGATTCTGAATGTAACTTCAGTTTTCATATATGATTCACTTAACATCGAAGGATTATCTTACGAACAACACAGTATTATAGAGGCAAATATATCTTTTTTTTCTTAAACAGTTGCAACATAGTTACTGGACAACTATACAATACAAACAGACGCAGTTTTCCTGCAACAACTTCCTCCCAGAACTGTCGGACAGCAACTTTCTCAAACAGTTACAACTGCCCCAAACAAACCCTAACACATCCTGATACTCTCAGAAAGAAGAGCCATGAGTCTCTACCATAAGGACCTCCTCATCCTCCAATAGCTCATCCTCATCAAGATCATACCAGGAATGGCAATGAGCTAGAGCAACTTCTCATGTATTGACTTATCACGTAGCTTCTCGTGGGTCATAAGCCCACAGAGGATTCTTACCCTGAAGTTCAGTGGCACGATATTCCTAGATGACTTGATCATCGATCAGGCTAAAAATGTTAGATGCTGACATGCCAAATGATTGTATCCTACATCACCCATCAACCACTTAATTCCCTACAAACCTTTAAATCTTAAAGTATCTCTAGCTACACAAAGATGGCCTGATCAGGCGAAAAAGATTAGATGATGACATGCCAAATGATTGTATCCTACATCAACCATCAACCACTTAGTTCCCTACAAATCATTATATCTCAAAGTATCTCTAGCTACACAAAGATGGACCATATTTGTACTAATTTTTGCATATAATCAAATCCCACAACTTGGCAAAGCCCATGGTTTTTTATCCCCATTACACAGTTTCCATGTAAGATTTCTACATTCCTTAATTGTGTGTGTGGATTAATGTCCTACAAGGTAATGCTCGAGATTTTTCCTGTTAACGTCACCGTTACAATGGAGGAATCATATCGAATAGGCGAGGCAAGGGATATCAACATTTCAACTTTATAAGAAACGAAGCTCTCGTTTTGAACCAAAACGATTTTGACATCCTAGGAAGCAAGCAAAGATGTCGTCGAGAGGAAAGGAAAGCGAGACGAGGGTGATGCAAACTCCAATCATGAGTGGGAGAATACCTATCGGCCGAGATGAGACAATGACGAAGGTGTAAGCAGGTCGGCATGAATGGTGAATGTGAGGATGGCTCACCGGGAGAAGGAAAAAGGCGGGTTAATTTGAGCCTGTGGCGAGTATTGCAAGTGTCAATCAAGGCGTTATGGCTCGGCGAGGGCGAAAAAACTTGTGATTGAAGTTGAAGAAGGGAAGTGAGGAAGAAGGAAGCAAGAGAAAGGTGTGCCTTGTGTGCTTGTAGGGGGTGTGAGGTCGATCCAAGCATGATTAGAACAGATCGTGTGAAACAACGGAGCAAGTGAAGTAGGGAAGGCTCTCTCAGGCGAACATCTTACGGTCTAGAGCAAGGAATTGGGTTCTTGATCACTCGAGAGGCAATGTTGAGTGTACAGCAGAAGTACAATGTCAGCTAGTTGCTGGAGACATGTTCAGTGATGGCAAACAAAAAGATTGAATCTTTTGAGGTAAGGTTTTAGTGTTTGCTTATTTTATTCAATAGGAGTTGTATTTAAGTATAACTAGGGATGTTAAGATTTAAGCAGATTAATATATATTAAATTAGAAAATATAATGTTATTATAACCATAAAATGACTAATGAAGCATTTAATAAATTAAGTATTTCATGTTTAAATCCTAAATTTTGAATTGTAGCTATAAAGATATTTATTTAGAGCTTTTTATAATGAAATAACAACAACAACAACAACAACAATAATAATAATAATAATAATAATAATAAATAGCAAGAATAAAATCATAAGGAAATAAGGAGAAAATATTAATAAATATATGAAGGTTCCTTAAATTAAAATATTTAAAAATAATTAAATTAAATAAATAAAAATTGATTAATCATAATTAAATATCTTAATACGAATACTTCTTATATTATAGGTGTTTAATTGAAGGAGTTGCATCATAAAGAATAAGTGGTGAAGAATATTCGGCGAGTACTCATACTTCTACATCATAATAGTTTCTATTTCTTCAAAACTAAATCTAATGATTATTATTGTACAATTTTAGTGTGATTTAAATGTTCTTTTAGATGTTATCATATCATTGCAATGAATATAAATTTTAAAAATATTACTATTATGCATTTATGTAAATGTATACATAATATATTAAATTGAATGAACATATGAATGATATGAACTTTATAGACTGAATGTATATGCATGTTTGTCTATCATGAAATTCACTTATTTACAGTACTATTGATAGAACATTCAGGTACCCGTGCATGAAAATAAAAATTAATATTACTATTGAAGAATTTTAAATTATATAAATTTAGACGATGCTTGTGTGACAGTTGTATAGATATAAAATAAAATAAAATGTTATTGATATAATAAAATATATTAGATGTCATGAAATATCATGATTGATCATATTCATAACTTATCAAATATTTTTATATTAATTTATTAAAAATTTAATTAGCATGCATATTATTTAATTTTTATTACGTTACTGTGGTTTAGAAGTGTACTCACAAGCATTTTTATCTTATTGTTGGTTTAAATTAATATTACAGGTGTAATCATTTCAATAAAAGATAAACAATAGAAGAGGAAATGTTTATAGAAGATGTGAACAACCTGATCTAAGGTAAATTTATAACTGCTTTAATTTAATTTCTTTTTTCGTAGTGGCCTTTTCATTTGTTAAAGGTTAATTATAGAAAATGAATATAAAAAAATTAACTTCCACCGTCCGGTTGTCTGTACTCACATTAGTAAATTTCAAGCCCAGGTCAAGTCGTGACATACAAGTTACATAAATCCCTATAAGACATAACAATATTAGTTGGGATATCTTACAACCAAATTCAAGTATAAGATGCAAAATTTTGGCACCGGGTATGAAATGGATTTTTTTAAAAATGATTAGCCACATACATGGCAAAAATAATGTCGAAGTTGCCTAAAAGTTGCTAAGGAATAATGTCTCAGTCCTTGAATAAATTTCAAAGCAAAAGGCTGAACAAGAGGCTTGCACTAAATTGAAAAAATATCACCTATATCAATATTAGCCTAATCATTCTTAAAATTTAATGAATTAAAAAACCATAAATAAATAAAGGGGCAATTATCATTGAAGTCCCTCATGTTTAAATCATGCTCCACATGATTTGACTTTTTAAAAGCCTTCACTCTAGTCCCTCACATACAAGATTATTTCATGAAGATCCATTTGTTAACGCAATCATTAATTTATAAATAAAAGATATAATTTCTCAATATTCTTCATCTAATCATTTACTAACTTCACAAGTTCATCATATGGTGATGACCTTAAATCACACTCACCAAAAATACCCCACCTCATCTCTAATCTGTCGCATAACCAAAACACCAATTAACAATCCATTAATTCTCTTCATAAGAGAACAAATTCATGGAAAAGTAGAGTAATTGAACACCAAGGGATGTATTGCAAGTTTTAACATCAATACCATTGGAGAAAAAATTCTAGTTAATACCATTGGAGAAAAAATTCTGGTTGATGCCAAGCAAGATTAGATTTCTCAAGCTCAAAAAAATTGGGCGACTTCTATTAATCTTGTTCATAGAAACATGGAGGCCAAAAAGGTAAACAGGAGATCGTCGGTATTTTGGACATAATAGTCAAAACAATTCAAAATTAATAAAAAACAAGACAAGCTAAATTAACCAAATATTTAGCATCGTTAGCACAAAAAGGACCTCTGTGAAAACTAGAAAAAAAGCCAGGGGATCCTTGCAAAATCTCATAGTATTAGAGATCAGAGGGAAAGCTCTAAAAGAAAAGAAGAGATTCCCATGAAAAGCACTCTAAACCTCAAGGACCTATGTGAAACTTAAATAAAGATATGCCATCGTAGATGTCAAGAGAAACTTATAAGGTATCCAACTTCCCCCTTGAGTTAATAACAGCCTCCGTTTCAGCATCAAATAAAATGCTTTCAGCTACTTGTAAATCCAGTTGAAATAAATCTTGAGGAGATTAAAACCTGAAACTGTTTGGCATGACATCTATTAAATCTTGCCAAATCCCAATACATTATTTAACTATATGTTTTGGGATCTAAGATTTATAAGAGTTAGAAATCCTAAAATACATTAAATCTAGTGAATGATGGCATTTAACAAATGTTGAATTCAATCAATAACCAGCCAAAATGAGAATTATTAAAATAACAGGATATTAAATCCCCCCAAAATACTCCTTGGCCAAATTTAAAAGCTAGATCTCGCTGAAATATTGCTTGAAACAGTATATCAAAGCCATTTGGAAAGACCGACATACAGACATTCTATCAAGAGCATTCTTTACTCTAACCAACAAATCAAACCCTACAGATTTCAGACACAAAATACAATTAAAATAAAAAAGAAAAGCCTGCTAACACTTATCTTCTCTAGATCTTAGAATTCTCGATTTCTTCAGTAAATTTGAGCCGATATCAGAACAGACATACAAATGATACAACTCCAAGATAACCACTCATACTAAAACCAAAATCAACCAACTCAAAAATGCCCAAAAAAAAGGGTTTGCTTCCGTATACCCATTGAACAAGAGATTCCAGCAATCATACGACTGACCAAAACGGATAAAACAACGGGGAAAATTAAGAAAAAAAAAATCATAAAAAACTCCATAAAAAATAATAAACCTGATCTTGAGGATTGAGGAAGGTGTTGAAGCTGAAGAACGGGAAGTCCTCACCTAAATATAAAACTAAGCGCGTCAACTGGGAGACATGTAAGCGGAAGGCAAGTCGCCAGCGGGTTTGTCCCTGAAATTAGCGTCGATGCTCCAGAAAAAATTATTGGGGTCATTGCGGGCTTTTATTGTCTTTTTTTTTTTTTTTTTTTTTTTTTTTTTTTACCATCACCGAATTTCTATATAAACTATCTTTAACCTACATGGACTTACAAATAAATTCGGCGTTTATATTTTCATATATTTGTAGATTACATAAAGATCACATGACAATTATATGAAAGTTAAAAAAAATATAACTCGAATATAATGTTTTTTTTTTTTTTTTTTTTTTTTTTTTTTTTAACCTTCACCGAATTTCTATATAAACTATCTTTACCCTGCATGGACTTACAAATAAATTCGGCATTTCTATTTTCATATATAGATTACATAAAGATCACATGAAAATTATATGAAAGTTAAAAAGAATATAACTCGAATATAATGTCAATATAATGCTCATATAATCTTCATTATGTACTCAGCGCTGCGAGCAAATTTTTCCCCAAAATTCACAACTGAAGAACAATAAAGCTTCCACAAATCCGCGGAGCACCGTTAACGCAATAATGGACGAGCGGACCCTACGTGGGCCACGTGAATGTGATTGCTACCGACGAAATAATTATTCCCTTAGCGGTTAAAAAATAAGTTTCAAATACTAAATAAATAATTGATAGTATTAGAGTTGAAAAACTACAATAACGATCTTTTTTAACTTCCAAACACGATTTCTTTAAGATAGATTTGGAAGTACATTTGCTCGACCGAACTTTCCGCAGCAACATTGTTTGGTTTTGTTTTCAGATTCTGTTATTTTTCATTACTTCTCTTTTTTTTTATTTTAAAATGTAAAAACAGTGCAGAAATATTTGGACCGATAATTTAAAAAAAATTGATTTTTGTTTTTCAGGATGTTTGACGAGACATTTTTCTACCTTTACAGATCTCAAAAATAAAGAAAAAAAACAAATCAAAATAAAGTTTTACCATGACTTGTCAATGTTTATTTTCTCTATTCCATAATATATATATATATGTCTGTGTGTATGTGTGTGTGTCTATATATATGTGTGTGTGTGCTTATATATATCTATATATATAAGTGTGTGCGCACGTGTGTGTAAAGATACATACATAGATACTTACACTTAGATACATACATATAGAGAGAGAGAGACACTCACATATATATATATATATATATGTTATTATACGAGCCTCGGTCATTCCCAATGCGCCTAATAGTTCGAGTACCGCACATTCCACCGGGGGGAATCAAACGCCTCACTAGAGGGGACTTAAAACTCACAAACAGATGTCTGACCAACTGATCTAAGTACACGGCGCATATGTGTGTGTGTATTTATTTATTTATTTATTTCGATAGTTCTTCTCGGTGAATTATGTAGAATATCTCTTTATGTACAACAAATTTGTATTGGTTTTACTCGTTTATTTTTCAATTACAAGTCAGAAAATACTCCAGTATGATTAGGGCAATATGATTATACTGAAGAAAATTCTCAAGATTGTCGGATCAATAACCAATAAAAATTAAAATTGCAACTTTTCATTTAGGAACCCTTTTTCTCCATTTGAATGTGGACATAGTGATTCCTGCACAATACATCTTGTGATATCCAAGTATGATCTTCTAGGTCGTTATCACATACATACATACATATCTATAGTGTTGAATCACAAAATGTTATTCGGGTCACGCCCAAGTAATAAGACGTTGGTCAGATAAGAGGAATGAGAGAAATTTGGAGAAAAAGAAGAAAGTGTTAGGTCAAAAGTAATGTTAATTCTCTAGGAATAAACTCAATAGTAGACCTCCTTATTTATAGATCATATGGGATGTCTAGTAAATTACATGATTACCTCTCACTTAATGACAACGTTCCGTATTTGTGATTGCTACTAGCACCGTTTCATGTTTACAACTGCTTGACTTGGTCGTATGATATTCGTTTGGTCGACCAAAATTCATTTGGCTAACTAACAGGTCTTCGGTCAATTTTTCTGGGGGATTTCATCGTGTAAATTCATTTTCCTTAAAAAGGGTTATTCCATCAGGCAGAGAGTATATCACTGTAATCTAATAAGCAGTCTTCCTTCCCTGGATAAATCTTCATAAAATGTTAGGTGAGAGTACCGCTAAGTTATTATTGATCTTGTGAATGTCTTTGCATCGGTTGAGTTGTTGTCGGTCTAGGTGTACGGCCTTCTTGAGTTAGAACGAACTTTTGTTTGGTCGGCCTATGATTCGATCGACTGAAATGATGCTAAATAGCTCATTCTCTTGCTACTTTCTTTGCTTAAATCATTAAATTTCCTTGCGATTCATCCAGTCACATTTCTGATGTACATATTTTGTTTTCTAATTCATTTACTTCTTTGAAAGTAACAATTGTCATGAGAATTAAAGAATTAAATGAAATGAGTAATAAGTACTGCTAATAATTGTACTCCTTGGATTTCTATGTCATTTTTCCTATAAATAGAGTGTGATCAATGCTTCCCTTTCTCATTTCTGGAATTACCTTGCCCTTCAGTCGTTTATAGCAGAGGACTAGAATGTCGGGTGCGGGTGCTAAGAAACCTGTGAACGAGGAGGCTCTGATGGGTGTCATCAGGCTTCCTACTTCTAAGATTTACCCTCTAGGGAGTGAGAAAAAGAGAAAACCGGAGAGTTGTTGATCAATTCCAAAAGAGAAAACTGTTGAAGAGGGTGGGTCGACTAAGTAGGGTCTGGAAGATGAGAAACAAACAACTAGTACCAAAGAGTTGGCCAAAAGGGAGTTCGATGAAGTAGGCGATGTTAAAAAAGTAGAGGGTATAGGAGATTATAGAGTCCTCTGACTCTATGCTGCAATTATAGGTGGGTAGACAGATGGGAATACGCATCAAATGCATCTGACTTGGCGTCTAATCCACTCCGATAGTTACTGACCCAACTGTCACCTCTGGAATGGCAACTTGCAGAGGTGGTCGCACACACTCTGCTGTCGGAAGGTGTCGTACCTCAGACTTAGATTAGAGAGGAAGTTCAAGGTGATGTTCCTCCGCCTGTTGAGGAGAGTCTACATACGCTATAAATACATAGATTGATTGGTAATTTTTCTTCCCTATTTGGTTTTTTTTTTTTTTGTTCACTCTAATGACACATTCTGATGTTGTAAATGAAGTCGTGAAAGTCCCGAGGGGTGGGCTACATCCTGCTCCGGAGGCTCCAGTTGGACCTCCCCCCTTGAAGTAATACCTGACCATCTGCTGCCTTTTGTTGACCCAGATCTGAAAATTGACGGTTGATGTGATTCCCACGAGTGGTTGGCACGTTTTAGCCAAACCAGACACCAACTGGATGGCGCCAAGGTCCTTAGGGTAGGGCCTTAGTGCCATCCACTTTGTGCCTAGGCGCCAATTTTAGTCAAACCAGACAGAGAGCTTGGCGCCAGCAACTGTTTTGCGGGCTTTCAGCAGTTGCTTCGACGGTTATGTTGTGAATATATTCAGCCTTTCGTGATGTTTAGAGCAATTCTAGGCAGCCTAAGGGAGGGGAAAAACCTCTGAACCCTAAAGGAAATCCTAGGGGAAGTCTAGTGTTTAATTCTAGTTTAATTTGCTTTTTATTTCAGAGTTTGGTGAGGATTTGGAGGGATATTGTAGAGAGGTTCCTCACCAAGGCATCAAGGACTTAGGAGATCTTATTGTGAGAAATTATTAGTGTTTGTTAAAGAAAAAAAACTAAGTTTTGTAGACTTTCTTTATGTTGTAAGTTACTTTATACACAATTCTAGTGGATTATTTTGTTTTAAAGATGTGTTGTGGCAATTTCTCTATGCTTTGTGGGTATTTTGTAGACTTACTAAGTTTTGTAGACTTCTTTATGTTGTAAGTTACTTTATACACAATTCTAGTGGATTATTTTGTTTTAAAGATGTGTTGTGGCAATTTCTCTATGCTTTGTGGGTAGTTCCATTTTACCTTTCCCCTTGGTTTTTACTATTAAACTGATGATTTTCCTTCTGTGCTTTGTTTACTTATTATTTTGGCCAAATGGTTTGTTAAAATTTATTGTGAACCCATAAAGACTTTGGAGAGCTATAGCATGAACAACTAGGAAGAATCACTTTGAACTATATGGTATGAAGTAAAAATAACCTTAGGGAGATGCAAATTGATAGATAAACACTCTTTATTGGGTTCAAACTGGGATTTAAGGAATTAAAACCAGTTGAACCAAACTTCTTTATGCACTTGAAAGAGGGTAAATAAGATAATGGCTAATATTGGTCACTTACAACACTTTCAATTTATTGCATTCACTATTTAGACACCTCATACCAATGCAAAGGGGAAGGTAACCTTATCACTTGATTTCCTTCAAACTTTCATATAATTAGTAGAATTGTTAATTAGATTAAATCTTTAGTATAACCTTAAAACTATCAAGACTTCCAATCTGAGAACTAGTTTAGTAGGCTAGAACTTTTCTTAAGACAGTAACACCTTTTTCCATGTGGGATCAACAATCCGGGATCAAAAAATTGATATTACTTGAAACGACCACGTACACTTAAGTGATACAGAGGGGTGCAAGAACACCTGACATGGAAGCAAACTTGGTGGTACAACACACACATTAATGTTTTGGGTTCGTTGTTGGGAAACAAAGGTGTAGTGCTACATTGCTGCACAAATTAAGTTCAATAACTCATAGTACCACACAAAACTATGAGTGAGCACACCCCAATTTTTTGCATCAATTTTTTGGCATCATTGCGGGGAAAGCAGCGGTGTAGTTAAGTTAAGAGAATTTTAGTTGAATCCATTAGGACTTAGACTTGGAAAATTTCAATTTGTAAAATTATATTTTTGATTATATTTGTTTGTTTGTTTGAAAAAGAAAAAAAAATGTTATTTTGAATATTTTTAGTGTGTTTGTGTAAAACTAATTAGTGGGATTATTAGTTGGTGGATGCATAGTGCGGGACCTTCGGGAGTACTGTATGATTCAGAACTAGAGAAAATTATTAGGAAA